TGTTACTCGTAAACTATAATAGACTTACCCAAACTCTGGATTGTTCTAGGAAACTTGAATGTTTCTTCAATTTGGGCAGAAATAAGCACAGAGGCGAAAAAAGCATCCTTCCACGAAAGAGACTTGATCGAGAATAGTTATGACACAAGCGTCTCTTTCAAAGAATGCGCGGAAAGACTCATCCGCCCCAGGCCGTGATATGCCAATAGGACTTTTGGCAATAATTACCAATGAATCTCTCACCTACGATTATAGATTCAAAACTTTAACATTCCCAAGAGAATTAGAACATAGAAGAGTGCCCAACTCGACCCAAAGACCTAAATTTACAAAAAATGGTCTATATACCTGTAAAGGCAGGTATGTTTTTAAAGTTAGCATCATCTGCATAGAGGTGATAGGATCTAGACGAGTCCAAGACGCAGTGGAAGACATGTGCTGTATGGGACAGTGGAAGACACCACCAAGCTGTATAGAACAGTGCAAGACACCACCAAGCTGTATGGAACAGTGGAAGACACCACCAAGCTGTATGGAACAGTGGAAGACACCACCAAGCTGTATGGAACAGTGGAAGACATGTGTCACACCACCAAGCTGTATGGAACAGTGGAAGACACAACTAAGCTGTATGGAACAGTGGAAGACACCACCAAGCTGTATGGAACAGTGGAAGACATGGCACACCACCAAACTGTATGGAGCAGTGGAAGACATTTCACACCACCAAGCTATAAGGAACAGTGGAAGACACCACCAAGCTGTATGGAACAGTGGAAGACATGTGTCACACCACCAAGCTGTATGGAACAGTGGAAGACACCACCAAGCTGTATGGAAAGTGGAAAGCTGTACCACCAAGCTGTAGTGGAAGACATGTGTCACACCACCAAGCTGTATGGAACAGTGAAAGACATGTGTCACACACCAAGCTGTATGGAACAGTGGAAGACATGTGTCACACCACCAAGCTGTATGGAACAGTGGAAGACATGTGTCACACCACCAAGCTGTATGGAACAGTGGAAGACATGTGTCACACCACCCAAGCTGTATGGAGCAGTGGAAGACATGTGTCACACCACCAAGCTGTATGGAACAGTGGAAGACATGTGTCACACCACCAAGCTGTATGGAACAGTAGGGGAAGACATGTGTCACACACACCAAGCTGTATGGAGCAGTGGAAGACATGTGTCACACCACCAAGCTGTATGGAACAGTGGAAGACATGTGTCACACCACCAGCTGTATGGAGCAGTGGAAGACATGTGTCACACCACCAAGCTGTATGGAACAGTGGAAGACATGTGTCACACCACCAAGCTGTATGGAACAGTGGAAGACATTTCACACCACCAAGCTGTATGGAACAGTGGAAGACATGTGTCACACCACCAAGCTGTATGGAACAGTGGAAGACATGTCACACCACCAAGCTGTATGGAACAGTGGAAGACATGTGTCACACCACCAAGCTGTATGGAACAGTGGAAGACATGTGTCACACCACCAAGCTGTATGGAACAGTGGAAGACATGTGTCACACCACCAAGCTGTATGGAACAGTGGAAGACATGTGTCACACCCACCAAGCTGTATGGAACAGTGGAAGACATGTGTCACACCACCAAGCTGTATGGAACAGTGAAAGACACCACATGTATGTCACACCACCAAGCTGTATGGAACAGTGGAAGACATGTGTCACAGTGGAAGACACCACCAAGCTGTATGGAACAGTGGAAGACACCACCAAGCTGTATGGAACAGTGGAAGACATGTGTCACACCACCAAGCTGTATGGAACAGTGGAAGACACCACCAAGCTGTATGGAACAGTGGAAGACATGTGTAACACCACCAAGCTGTATGGAACAGTGGATGACATGTGTAACACCACCAAGCTGTATGGAACAGTGGAAGACGTGTGTCACACCACCAAGCTGTATGGAATAGTGGAAGACATGGCACACCACCAAACTGTATGGAACAGTGGAAGACATGGCACACCACCAAGCTGTATGGAACAGTGGAAGACACAGCCAAGCTGTATGGAACAGTGGAAGACGTGTGTCACACCACTAAGCTGTATGGAACAGTGGAAGACATGGCACACCACCAAACTGTATGGAACAGTGGAAGACATGGCACACCACCAAGCTGTATGGAACAGTGGAAGACATGGCACACCACCAAACTGTATGGAACAGTGGAAGACACAGCCAAGCTGTATGGAACAGTGGAAGACGTGTGTCACACCACTAAGCTGTATGGAACAGTGGAAGACATGGCACACCACCAAACTGTATGGAACAGTGGAAGACATGGCACACCACCAAACTGTATGGAACAGTGGAAGACATGGCACACCACCAAGCTGTATGGAATAGTGGAAGACATTTCACACCACCAAGCTGTATGGAACAGTGGAAGACATTTCACACCACAAAGCTGTATGGAACAGTGGAAGACATTTCACACCACAAAGCTGTATGGAACAGTGGAAGATGTGTCACACCGCCAAGCTGTATGGAACAGTGGAAGACGTGTGTCACACCACCAAGCTGTATGGAACAGTGGAAGACATGGCACACCACCAAGCTGTATGGAACAGTGGAAGACACCACCAAGCTGTATGGAACAGTGGAAGACACCACCAAGCTGTATGGAACAGTGGAAGACATGTGTCACACCACCAAGCTGTATGGAACAGTGGAACACACCACCAAGCTGCATGGAACAGTGGAAGACACCACCAAGCTGTATGGAACAGTGGAAGACACCGCCAAGCTGTATGGAACAGTGGAAGACATGTGTCACACCACCAAGCTGTATGGAACAGTGGAAGACATGGCACACCACCAAGCTGTATGGAACAGTGGAAGACATGTGTCACACCACCAAGCTGTATGGAACAGTGGAAGACATGTGTCACACCACCAAGCTGTATGGAACAGTGGAAGACATGTGTCACACCACCAAGCTGTATGGAACAGTGGAAGACATGTGTCACACCACCAAGCTGTATGGAACAGTGGAACACACCACCAAGCTGCATGGAACAGTGGAAGACACCACCAAGCTGTATGGAACAGTGGAAGACACCGCCAAGCTGTATGGAACAGTGGAAGACATGTGTCACACCACCAAGCTGTATGGAACAGTGGAAGACATGGCACACCACCAAGCTGTATGGAACAGTGGAAGACATGTGTCACACCACCAAGCTGTATGGAACAGTGGAAGACATGTGTCACACCACCAAGCTGTATGGAACAGTGGAAGACATGTGTCACACCACCAAGCTGTATGGAACAGTGGAAGACATGTGTCACACCACCAAGCTGTATGGAACAGTGGAAGACATGTGTCACACCACCAAGCTGTATGGAACAGTGGAAGACACCACCAAGCTGTATGGAACAGTGGAAGACACCACCAAGCTGTATGGAACAGTGGAAGACACCACCAAGCTGTATGGAGCAGTGGAAGACGTGTCACAGCACAGACTTGACAGAGGCATGTGGCCTTCTCATCCAGAAACCAGTGGCAGGAAGATTAAAAAGAACAAGAAGAATAAAGTGACTAAGCCTAATAGAGTTTCACTCACATGGAAAAAAATATCATCTCCAAATTTCTATGAATAAAGCCATTTTTGCTCTCCTAAATGCTATTTTTTAGTAAATGTCATGATTCCTGGTCATGGTTTTCTAACATATTGCATCTGTGAACTCAGAACTACATAGTCTGACAATGAATTCCCCATCTTCAAGGTGTGAGGCAGACGGCTTCAGCACTTAACAGTGATTGGCTTGTCCTTATTCTGCTGACAGGGCGTCTTCATTACAAAAAATTACAAATCAAATTGAAATGTTTTTTGTTTAAATCACCATGTCTCTTCCTCACCACATTGCCAGTTTCTGTACACAACCGCGGGTCGTTGGGTCACCCATTGCTGTTGACTGATCAGCTCTGTTCACCCATGTCAGTCAGATGTGGTGGATGCAATGTTAGCAGTTTGAGGCCTTTCCATTCTGGCATATTCTGTACCCAGATCTTTCTTGGTCTTCCCCTCTACAGAGCCCTGTAATATCCAGGGCCTGTAGCTACCCTTGAAACCATGAAAACCCCTTAAAACCATGAAAACCCCTTAAAACCATGAAAACCCCTTGAAACCATGAAAACTCTTTGAAACCATGAAAACACCTTGGAAGGCAGTTTGCCCTTTCAGAGGTTTCGGAAGACCTGGAACAATGTATATTCACATGTGTGTGCACAAAGTATCACATATGCCTAACACACCCTTGAACAAAGCAACAGATCCCTTGAAGATTTGTGAAATTGGCTGCAAACCCTGATTATATCATATTGAAGAGGTTAGTAGATCTTTATACCTGTCCATACAATTGCGTCTTCTGTGTTTATGTTTCCCCGCTGTTGTTACAAGAGGTTGATAGTCGCCTTTGTTTTGAGTGATGATACAGCAAACTTTGCCATTTAGGATCTGGTCTCTCTATTATACACCAATCATCTTTCCAGAAGGTCTCATTTCCACTGCTTTTGTTTTCTAGGCCCAGATATTAAGGTCCACATTTCACAGCCGTGTACAGATAGCTGTCGGCTCTGTGGCTAAGTTGATGCCAACACTTTGTAGTGCCGGGGTGCCGGATTCGATCCCAGCTGCGGGCCATGCGCCTTGCATTGGTTTCAACAGTGGTATCAGGGGAGCCGACCGTCCAGAAAGCAATGACAAACTACTGGACGTAAATTTGCCTAGAGAAACCACACAACAGCCAGGGGCTGATGGGGTTGGTTCTGCAACGTCCTGTTAAAGATACGCAACTAACCTCTGTACAGATAGCTAATGCTGTAAGCAGTCATATTTATTGTATGGAATACCCCAACAACAACAACATAATTTCAAAATTGTTATTTCAGATGTTGCATCTGCTGTCAGTTTGCCATAGAACTAATTCAGTTTGAATTTATGATTGCAGGTGAAATGTCGTCAGTTGTCTGGCATTTGCCTGATGTTGTTTGTTAAACGCAGCTACCTCCCATATGTTTATAATATTGAATCTGAAGTGACCAAAACCGGGTTTAAAGGCATGTGGGTGAGTTGTCTGCCTGGTTTACCTCAAACTTACTGTTCATTTTGTAACTGTATTGGCTTCTGTATTTCATGTTTTTATTTAGTTTATTGAATGCAATGAGGAGGAGGAGGGGGCTACTGCCACTCAGCCAAGCGTGTTGTGGGGGGGGGGGGGGGGGGCTACTGCCACTCATCCAAGCGTGTTGGGGGGGGGGGGGGGGGGCTACTGCCACTCATCCAAGCGTGTTGTGGGGGGGGGGGGGGTATTGTGGGGGGGGGGGGCTACTGCCACTCATCCAAGCGTGTTGTGGGGGGGGGGGGCTACTGCCACTCATCCAAGCGTGTTGTGGGGGGGGGGCTACTGCCACTCATCCAAGCGTGTTGTGGGGGGGGGGGGGGGGGGGGGGCTACTGCCACTCATCCAAGCGTGTTGTGGGGGGGGGGGAGTAGCTACTGCCACTCATCCAAGCGTGTTGTGGGGGGGGGGGGGCTACTGCCACTCATCCAAGCGTGTTGTGGGGGGGGGGGGGGCTACTGCCACTCATCCAAGCGTGTTGTGGGGGGGGGGGCCCTACTGCCACTCAGCCAAGCATGTTGTGGGGGGGGGGAGCTACTGCCACTCAGCCAAGCGTGTTGTGGGGTGGGGGGAGCCTACTGCCACTCAGCCAAGCATGTTGTGTGGGGGGGGGGGCCTACTGCCACTCAGCCAAGCGTGTTGTGGGGGGGGGGGAGCTACTGCCACTCAGCCAAGCATGTTGTGGGGGGGGGGGGGGGGGCTACTGCCACTCAGCCAAGCATGTTGTGGGGGGGGGGGGCCTACTGCCACTCAGCCAAGCGTGTTGTGGGGTGGGGGGGGGGCCTACTGCCACTTAGCCAAGCGTGTTGTGGGGGGGGGGGGGGCCTACTGCCACTCAGCCAAGCATGTTGTGGGGGGGGGGCCTACTGCCACTCAGCCAAGCATGTTGTGGGGGGGGGGGGATGCCCTACTTCAGAATCAGACTGTATTTGCTTGAGAGGGTTAGGAACCAACAGTCTGCATACAAATAAGCCAGATCTGTCAAAATGGATGCGCATTCAAAGCTCATTTACTGAAAATACTAAAATCTAGAAGTGGATGAACAACCAGAACTTACTGCCAGAGTTTACAGCCAGTAAACGCAAAGAATAAGAAGAATTATTCCGGATACCTGCAGAATCAACTATGTGAAACAGTAGTGCGCTTAAAGAGAGATAAAATAGTCGATGGATTTGTATGGGGTCAGTTGTTGGCACCTTTCCTTCTGTCTAGATGACAGTGTTATATTGTGCTGTCATAAGTATGGGGATCCGTTGTTGGCACCTTTCCCTCTGTCTAGGTGACAGTGTTTTATTGTGCTGTCATAAGTATGGGGTCAGTTGTTGGCACCTTTCCATCTGTCTAGGTGACAGTGTTTTATTGTGCTGTCATAAGTATGGGGTCAGTTGTTGGCACCTTTCCCTCTGTCTAGGTGACAGTGTTTTATTGTGCTGTCATAAGTATGGGAGTCAGTTGTTGGCACCTTTCCATCTGTCTAGGTGACAGTGTTTTATTGTGCTGTCATAAGTATGGGAGTCAGTTGTTGGCACCTTTCCATCTGTCTAGGTGACAGTGTTTTATTGTGCTGTCATAAGTAGGGGGTCAGTTGTTGGCACCTGTCCAACTGTCTAGGTGACAGTGTTTTATTGTGCTGTCATAAGTAGGGGGTCAGTTGTTGACACCTGTTTAACTGTCTAGGTGACAGTGTTATATTGTGCTGTCATAAGAAGGGGGTTTGTTGTTGGCACCTTTCCCTCTGTCTAGGTGACAGTGTTTTATTGTGCTGTCATAAGTATGGGGTCAGTTGTTGGCACCTTTCCCTCTGTCTAGGTGACAGTGGTATATTGTGCTGTCATAAGTATGGGAGTCAGTTGTTGGCACCTTTCCCTCTGTCTAGGTGACAGTGGTATATTGTGCTGTCATAAGTATGGGGGTCAGTTGTTGGCAATTTTCCATCTGTCTAGGTGACAGTGTTTTATTGTGCTGTCATAAGTATGAGGTCAGTTGTTGGCACCTTTCCCTCTGTCTAGATGACAGTGTTTTATTGTGCTGTCATAAGTAGGGGGTCAATTATTGGCACCTGTTTAACTGTCTAGATGACAGTGTTTTATTGTGCTGTAACAATGCATGGTAATTCCTTGTAATCTTTGTGTTTTCCTTTAATAAGAGTTCTGTTTTTGGGAATGATGGGATACAATTAAGTGCAGTGAAATTGATCTTCCCACTTCTAATATTTTTGTAACTTGAGTGTTGTTTTTGTAACTTTAGTAATATTTGTATCACTTTAGGTTACTTTTGTAACTTTAGTGCTATTTTTGTAATTTTAGTATTTTTTTTTTTAAAATCACTTTAGGTTGTTTTTGTAACTTGAATGTCATTTTGGTCACTTTATTATTATTCTTATCACCCGCGAGTCACATATAACAACTGAGACTGATTTGTCTTGTCAACTAATTTTAGTCAAACTGTATTTTAAACAACGCAATCTCCTACAGGGAAACAAGGGGGCATCGAGTGTCAGGCTGGACTTCATGGGCATGAACTTGATAGTGGTCAACAGTCACCTGGCAGCACACAAGGAGAGTATCAAGGAACGCATTGAGGTATGCCAGTTTGGTTCACTGTTGGGTTCACTAGTCACAGTTATCTATATTTGACTACGGCAGTGACACTGTCACCTGGCAGCACACAAGGAGAGTATCAAAGAACGCATTGAGGTATGCCAGTTTGGTTCACTAGTCACAGTTATCTATATTTGACTACGGCAATGACACAGTCAACTTTGTATTCCAGTAAGCCGGTTACACAACTTACTATATGTTGCACGTAGTTATGTGAGACCCAGGTCTTGTGGTAGCTTCCCAAGAGCTTTAACACCCATGTTTATGAGAATGGGGAGACAGTTGAGTTTGCATGTTGTGACCAAATGTCAATATTAGGAACAGTTGTTATCCAGGCCTGCTGTTATTGAAACATTTAATACAGCTTATGTTGTATGAGAAATAATTTCACAAGTATTGTTTGACACTCGTTGATGTAGAAGAAGTGATGTGTTTGCAGGTTTGAAATGATCTTGGTGTGCATTTTGTCTTCCTCAGAATATTGACAATATACTGGATGGACAGAAGTTCCGAGACCGTGACACGGACAACATCATGGACCATGAGTATGTCATTTTATTTTATTTTAAACATAAATGGCCACAGATAGAAATATTTCTGTAGCAGATTATGAAATTAATTAAGCAGATTATGATACTGATGAAGCAGATTATGATACTGATGAAGCAGATTATGTTACTGATAAAGCAGATTATGTTACTGGTGAAGCAGATTATGTTACTGATAAAGCAGTTTATGTTACTGATGAAGCAGATTATGTTACTGATGAAGCAGATTATGATACTGAAAAAGCAGATTATGTTACTGATGAAGCAGATTATGTTACTGATATAACAGATTATGATACTGATGAAGCAGATTATGTTACTGATATAACAGATTATGATACTGATGAAGCAGATTATGATCCTGATGAAGCAGATTATGTTACTGATGAAGCAGATTATGATACTGATAAAGCAGATTATGATGCTGATGAAGCAGATTATGTTACTGATGAAGCAGATTATGTTACTGATAAAGCAGGTGATGATACTGATGAAGCAGATTGTTACTGATGAAGCAGATTATGATGCTGATGAAGCAGATTATGTTACTGATAAAGTAGATAATGATACTAATGAAGCAGATTGTTACTGATGAAGCAGATTATGATGCTGATGAAGCAGATTTTATTTTAAACATAAATGGCCACAGATAGAAATATTTCTGTAGCAGATTATGAATTTAATTAAGCAGATTATGATACTGATGAAGCAGATTATGATACTGATGAAGCAGATTATGTTACTGATAAAGCAGATTATGTTACTGGTGAAGCAGATTATGTTACTGATAAAGCAGTTTATGTTACTGATGAAGCAGATTATGTTACTGATATAACAGATTATGATACTGATGAAGCAGATTATGATCCTGATGAAGCAGATTATGTTACTGATGAAGCAGATTATGATACTGATAAAGCAGATTATGATGCTGATGAAGCAGATTATGTTACTGATGAAGCAGATTATGTTACTGATAAAGCAGATGATGATACTGATGAAGCAGATTGTTACTGATGAAGCAGATTATGATGCTGATGAAGCAGATTATGTTACTGATAAAGTAGATAATGATACTAATGAAGCAGATTATGATGCTGATGAAGCAGATTATATTACTGATGAAGCAGATTATGTTACTGATGAAGCAGATTATATTACTGATGAAGCAGATTATGATGCTGATGAAGCAGATTATGATGCAGATTATATTACTGATGAAGCAGATTGTGATGCTGATGAAGCAGATTATGTTATTGATGAAGCAGATTATGATACAGATGACGCAGATTATGATACTGATGAAGCAGATTATGATGCAGATTATATTACTGATGAAGCAGATTATGTTACTGATAAAGCAGATTATATTACTGATGAAGCAGATTATGTTACTGATGAAGCAGATAATGATACTAATGAAGCAGATTATGATGCTGATGAAGCAGATTATGATGCAGATTATATTACTGATGAAGCAGATTATGATGCTGATGAAGCAGATTATGTTATTGATGAAGCAGATTATGTTACTGATGAAGCAGATTATGTTACTGACGAGGCAGATTATGATACTGATGAAACAGATTATGATGCTGATAAGCAGATTATGTTGCTGGTGAAGCAGATTATGATGCTGATGAAGCAGATTATGATACTGATGAAGCAGATTATGATACTGATAAAGCAGATTGTGTTACTGATGACGCAGATTGTGATACTGATGAGGCAGATTATGTTACTGATGAAGCAGATACTGATGAAGCAGATTATGTTACTAATGAAGCAGATTATGATACAGATAAAGCAGATTATGATACTGATGAAGCAGATTGTGTTACTGATGAAGCAGATTGTGATACTGTTGAAGCAGATTATGTTACTGATGAAGCAGATTATGATACTGATGAAGCAGATTGTGATACTGATGAAGCAGATTATGTTACTGATGAGGCAGATTATGTTACTGATGAAGCAGATTGTGATACTGATGAAGCAGATTATGATACTGATGAAGCAGATTATGATACTGATGAAGCAGATTGTGATACTGATGAAGCAGATTATGATACTGATGAAGCAGATTATGATACTGATGAAGCAGATTATGATACTGATGAAGCAGATTATGTTACTGATGAAGCAGATTATGATACTGATGAAGCAGATGATGATACTGATGAAGCACATTATGATACTGATGAAGCAGAATATGTTACTGATGAAGCAGATTATGTTACTGATGAAGCAGATTATGATACTGATGAAGCAGATTATAATACTGATGAAGCAGATTATGTTACTGATGAAGCAGATTGTGTAACTGATGGAGCAGATTATGTTGCTGATGAAGCAGATTATGATGCTGATGAAGCAGATTATGATACTGATGAAGCAGATTATGATACTGATGAAGCAGATTATGTTACTGATAAAGCAGATTATGATACTGTTGAAGCAGATTATGATACTGATGCAGCAGATTATGATACCGATGAAGCAGATTATGATACTGATGAAAAGTAGGCATTACTGCACGGCCTCCTGAAGGTGTCCATACCTTGCCAAGGTTTGGGGGGGGGGGGGGGGGGGCTGCTTGGTTTCTCAATGACCTTGTGGCTTTGCTAGTGGTAGCATAGCTACCAGCAGGGTCCCTTCAAGCTGCGCAGGTCAAAGAGAGGCACCCTGGTCATTGAGTCTGAGGTTTGTGACAAGTCAAAAAGAACCAAGAGTTATTTTATCCAACTATGATGGGACTGTGACAAGTCAAAAGGAACCGAGAGTTGTTCTATGGGACTGTGACAACTTAAAAAGAACTAAGAGTTCTATCAAACTAGGATAGGGCTATAATAAGTTAAAAGAACCAAGAGTTCTATCAAACTTGGATAGGACTATAATAAGTTAAAAGAACCAAGAGTTCTATCAAACTAGGATAGGACTATAATAAGTTAAAAGAACCAAGAGTTCTATCAAACTAGGATAGGACTATAATAAGTTAAAAGAACTAAGAGTTCTATCAAACTATGATAGGACTATGACAAGTTAAAAGGAATCAAAAGTTCTATCAAACTGTGCTGGGACTGTGACAAGTCAGAAGGTACCAAGAGTTGTTCTATCAAATTGTGCTGGGACTGTGACAAGTCAGAAGGAACCAAGAGTTGTTCTATCAAACTGTGCTGGGACTGTGACAAGTCAGAAGGAACCAAGAGTTGTTCTGTCCAACTATGATGGGACTGTGACATGTCAAAAGGAACTGAGAGTTCTGTCAAATTAGGATGATACAATGACACGTTAAAAGGAACCCAGAGTTTTTCTATCAAGATTATGCAAAGGACCTGCTACCTGATAATGATGTTGAGTATATTATCTGTCTGCTTTGAGCCTGCCCGTGACAAGTGCTGTGTGTAAATTAGTAAATATGAATATTTTATGGAACCTGATCTAACTGGTGTGCAATTTCTCTCTCAGTTATGTGTTTTGGATTGGGGATTTGAATTTCCGTGTGGAGAACATGTCGTACAATAGAACCTTGGATCTTATACGTGACGAGGATTACAAAACTTTAGCAGAGAATGACCAGGTATAATATGTTTTGTTCCCTTTTTTTTTTTTTTTAAAGAAAAGTTCTAAACATAAGTAACAAATAATTCCGTAAAGTAACAGACCCATTCCTGTGCTCTGGATCATATTTGGTATATGATGGTAGTGCCATATTTGTGTCATCCTGTCTGCATTGGGTGAGGGATTCAGTCATTATTGTTCTGGCCACATTTATTTCTCCAAACATTTTCTGCTAAACATTTTCAATCGGGGTCTGCTTGGGAACACACCTATGGCCAACTTGCAGAAAAGCCCAAGTTTCCTCACATGTATGGGCCCAGATCGCTGTATCTGTTAACATATTTGGGTCCCAGACCTCTGTATCTGTTGACATATTTGGGTCCCAGACACTTCTGCACTGCTGTATCTGTTGACATGTTTATGATTTCTGAACTTGTTAAGGGTTTCCTTCCCTTACTTATTTTACATTTGAAAGCCCCCATTGTAGGCGGAACAGAGATGGAATTGTAACCAGGCTGCAACAGAGCAAGTGTGGAAGTGTCCTGAATGCAGGGATGTCAATTCTTGATTCATTGATTCATTCATTGAAGTTATGTCAAATTCACATATGCCCCTACCATTTTGTTAACATGAACATAAACAAAGCTAGTAATAGTAACACTGTAACCTTCTGTGTATGCTGAAAATGGGTTGGGAGAGGGAAAGGGGAGCGCTTGGAGTGAGACTGACTACCTTGTCTTTTGATTCTTTTTTAACTGTAAAGTCAAACCAGTTATAAAATCTAAAATCTAACCAGTCGTAATATCTGTAAAGTCTAACCAATCATAAAATTTATACATTTTAACAAATCATAAAATCTGTAAAGTCTAACCAATCATAAAATCTATAATTTTAACAAATCATAAAATCTGTAAAGTCTAACCAATTATAAATCTGTAAAGTCTGAACAATCATTTCCTCTGTGAAATCTAACCAATCATAAATCTGTAAAGTCTGACCAATCATACAGTCTGTAAAGAGCTTGGTTAAGAGTATATTCCCTGTTTAAAATTGAAAGGCAGGAGAATGAGTTGAACTTAGTAGATTTGCACAATCTACAAAGTGATACATTTTTAAGCTTGGATATTAAATGTTTTCTTCAGCTTCGTCTCATTATGGAGGAGGGCTTGGCATTTGTGGGTTTTCATGAAGGAGAGCTCACATTTCCACCAACGTACAAGTTTGATGCAGGAACAGATGATTACGATACCAGGTGAGCATACAAAAGTTCTATGTAATGTGCCATCTTTCTGTGTAATAAGCCAGTTCTCAGCATATCATGTCAGTCCTCTATGTAAAAAGACTCACATAGCTTGGATGGAAAGAAGACGAAGGATTTGGTCCATCAAGAAATGGAAAGAAGACTAATGATTTGGTCCATCAAGAAATGGAAAGAAGACCAAGGATTTGGTCCATCAAGAAATGGAAAGAAGACCAAGGATTTAGTCCATTAAGAAATGGAAAGAAGACCAAGGATTTGGTCCATCAAGAAATGGAAAGAAGATGAAGGATTTGATCCATCAAGAAATGGAAAGAAGACGAAGGATTTGGTCCATCAAGAAATGGAAAGAAGACCAAGGATTTGGTCCATCAAGAAATGGAAAGAAGACCAAGGATTTGGTCCATCAAGAAATGGAAAGAAGACCAAGGATTTGGTCCATCAAGAAATGGAAATAAGACCAAGGATTTGGTCCATCAAGAAATGGAAAGAAGACCAAGGATTTGGTCCATCAAGAAATGGAAAGAAGACCAAGGATTTGGTCCATCAAGAAAGGGAAAGAAGACCAAGGATTTGGTCCATCAAGAAATGGAAAGAAGACCAAGGATTTGGTCCATCATGAAATGGAAAGAAGACCAAGGATTTGGTCCATCAAGAAATGGAAAGAAGACCAAGGATTTGGTCCATCAAGAAATGGAAAGAAGACCAAGGATTTGGTCCATCAAGAAAGGGAAAGAAGACCAAGGATTTGGTCCATCAAGAAATGGAAAGAAGACCAAGGATTTGGTCCATTAAGAAATGGAAAGAAGACCAAGGATTTGGTCCATCAAAAAAGGGAAAGAAGACCAAGGATTTGGTCCATCAAGAAAGGGAAAGAAGACCAGGGATTTGGTCTATCAAGAAATGGAAAGAAGACCAAGGATTTGGTCCATCAAGAAATGGAAAGAAGACCAAGGATTTGGTCCATCAAGAAATGGAAAGAAGACGAAGGATTTAGTCCATCAAGAAAGGGAAAGAAGACCAAGGATTTGGTCCATCATGAAATGGAAAGAAGACCAAGGATTTGGTCCATCAAGAAATGGAAAGAAGAAGAAGGATTTGGTCCATCAAGAAGTGAAAGAAGACCAAGGATTTGGTCCATCAGGAAATGGAAAGAAGAAGAAGCATTTGGTCCATTAAGAAATGGAAAGAATATGAAGAATTTGGTCTATCAAGAAACAGAATAAACCATAAACTTTTAGAGAAGTTCGGTTCAATCAATCATGACACAGTATCAGAAAAATAAACTTTAGAAATTAGTTGCAACTGGAGAACTTTTTGAGAAGTTCGGTTCAAACAATCACGACACAGTATCAGAAAAATAAACTTTAGAAATTAGTTACAACTGGAGAACTTTTTGAGAAAAAGTATGATGGAGTAGACACAGAGTTAAATACAAGGATGTCTTGGGCACATGGCATCATTGAGATAAGAATACACACCCTGATGGTGACAGGAGATGGTGAACTATGACCAGCCAGCCACACTTATCAGCCTGCCACCTGATGATAGTGTTTGAATGGCAACAAGTACTTTCTGCAGCATCATACAAAATGAAGAATATTTGATTGCTATCTTACTTTGTCAGTTGAGATGAGAAATTGATATCTACGGAAGTGAATTATGGGCAGTTAATAAATGAGTGAAAACTTTTTGGAAGCTGCGGAGATGTGGTTTTATAGATGAATGATAAGAATATGATACCCTGGGCAGATAAAAAAGAGTTATGAAGACGTCTTGGGAAAAACTGACTCATGAAGAGAACTGATTGCCCACATCAGAAAGAGACAATGTAGATTTTTTGGTACTATGATGAGAGGGAAAAATCTGGAGTACATCGTGACAGTAGGAGAGCTGGAGGGGAGGAGATGCAGAGGGAGACCGAGAGAGAGGATGCTGGACAGTTTGACATCACGGCATGGAAGATCATCGGTGTCAGAGTTGATTGAAAGTACAAGAGACAGAAGGTTGTGGATAGACATGACTACCCACGCCACACAGCATGGACTGGAAGAAGAATTTTACGCTCCAGTTGGGGAGAAAGCAAATCAGTCAGAGTTAATCTCCATCATTTGAATCTACACACCTGGGCATGCAGGAATCAAAGGCAACAAAAGACCTGACCAGCTGGCAGGCAGCATGAGTGTGTCACCGAGGAGTTGAGCTTGATGAAGCATGTTAATGCCATCTTTGAGATCAAGACAGGAGACACTGGAACCAACTTCTCATGGAACAATCAGTAGAGTTACCTTGGAGCGGTTACAACATCAGAGGACTGAGTGTGCATGCGAATGCCCAATATGCAGTGATATCAATTGTGAAAACATAAGTGTTGGAATGCTTGTTTAAAGCCCTTGCTTCTTGGTGACATTTCTTGTTATGCTCTCAATGACTTTCCCAGGTAAGTGTCATCAGTCTCATATAAGACATTGGTCTTTTTCTGTTTAAGACCATAAAGACAGTCTAACAAATGTCACACTGTGGAAGAGATTAGGGCTTCACCACACGATATTCCAAAAACATAAGTGGATACATATACCCACTACAGTCAGCCAATAAACCAGGCGGATAATAATCTGGCTTCATTTACTGGTATCCCACTCCAAGATGAGGAGTCATACACCTAACCCACTCTTGGAGTTGAAGTTATACACCTTTCCCACTCTAAGACGTGGAGTTATACACCTATCCCACTCCAAGATGAGGAGTTATACACCTATCCCACTCCAAGATGAGGAGTCATACACCTATCCCACTCCAAGACGTGGAGTTATACACCTATTTGGGCAGTAATATGGATAAAGATGTTAAAACTGACAGAGATATTAAAATGCAGATACAAAAGGCCAGAGGAGCTTTCATAGCACTAGGGAATTTGTGGAGGTCAAAAGAAATTAACTAAAACGGTTATTAATAAAGTACAAACATTCATTAACTGGTCCCTGCGTAGAATAGAATGAATTAAATAGTATGATAGAATCACTAATGCAGTGCTTTGGGAGAGAATTAAACAGGTTCCAGTGGACCAAGAGATGAAGAAAAGATGCTGGCTTTGAATGGGACACACACTGAGAAACTATGAGAAGAGTATAATAAGTATCCCTTTGCACTGGAACCCACAGGGACATAAAAATAAAGACAGACCCCTCCCAAAAAAAAACACATGGGTAAAGGAGTTAAGAGAGTGAAGTTGAGAGGAATTAGATGCCATGGGAAGAGCTGTATAAAATAGCATAGGATGGAATGACTTTATTGAGGGCCTATGCTCCATTGGAGGATAGAAGGCAAAAGAAGAAGAATACAACCTCCTTTATGAGAGCACAGACTTTTTTCTCTGTTCCCACTGAATTTCCCTGAAGCATCATGGGTATAATATTGTGTACTTGTGCAGCTCACAGAAGAGAATTCCCTCCTACACGGACCGCATCCTCTACCACTACCACGACACACAGTACGGCCAGGTCAAGTTGAACGCCAAGGTTGTGAACTACCGCTGTCACCACAACTTCCGCAACAGTGACCACAAGCCTGTCACTGCGGCTATAGACATTAATGTGAGCTTCTTAATGTGTGTAAAGAGTTCATTAATTGGCTATTAGCTGATTACTGTGGAGGGGGGGGGGGGGGGGGGGGGGTGTCAAGTAATGTATGTAGTAAGCTGATTAATGTTGGTAGTGAGCTAATTAATGTTGGTAGTGAGCTAATTAATGTTGGTAGTGAGCTAATTAATGTTGGTAGTGAGCTAATTAATGTTGGTAGTGAGCTAATTAATGTTGGTAGTGACCTAATTAATGTTGGTAGTGAGCTAATTAATGTTGGTAGTCTGTCAGTCAGTGTGGTTAGTGAGCTGATTACTGTGGGTAGTCTTAATGTGGGTCGTCTGTTGATTAATGTACCTAGTTAGCTGATTAACATAAGTAGTCTGTCAATTATTGTGCATAGTTGTAGTAAGCTGATTAATGTGGGTAATCTGTCAATTAATCTGGGTAATGAGCTGATTAATGGGTATTGAGCTGATTAATGTGGGTAGTGAGCTGATTAATGTGACCAATTAGTTGATTTAGCTGCATCAGTTGGTAGCTATGAAGCTGCTTATGTGGGCAGAACTGATCTATGCCTGGAGAAACGAGTCGCTGAGCACATTCCAGTATGGCTGGAAAAAGCCATGCAAAATAATTATCAGAATGATAATACTGGCCACAAAGATCACCCCTCTGCAATAGCAGCCATCTCCCAAAATCTGGACATGTGGTAATTTAGGACAACGCATTTCAAATCCTTCATACATCAATCAATGGCAGAACGCTAGGATTTATTGAAGCTTCCGCGATTCGTCACGTTGCGCCCGGAATTCTGTATACAGAAAGATATGGTTCTGACTTTATGACTGCCCTGGTAAAACAGGCAGTCATGTTTGATTGTTGTCGAATTTGTGCTTCATTTATAAAGGATTCACTAATTTGTTTCATTTATGTAATTGTTACTGTAGTATGCACCTGACGAGATACAGCAAAAAATGCCAGGCAATAAATTGTGCAATCTTTTGTTTGTGTCTTCTTTGTTCAAAATAGCTGATTATTGTGGGTAGTCCATCAATGAAGGTGGGTAGAGAGCTGATGAATGTCGCCAAATGAACCAGCTTTTCTTCTCTTCCACCTTGTACCTCAGTGAAGAGTTGGGGGGAGATGTGACGTTCATTGCTGAGCTCTGTCAAGCTTTTGTCCTGACTGATTGTTGTTTGTGATTCTTCATTTTTTTTTTTTTTGTCCTAGCTAAATCTTGTCTTTGACTCTCCAGGTTTTGTACCAGCTAATTCTTGTCTGTGACTATTCAGGTTTTGTACCAGCTAATTCTTGTCTGTGACTATTCAGGTTTTGTACCAGCTAATTCTTGTCTGTGACTATTCAGGTTTTGTACCAGCTAATTCTTGTCTGTGACTATTCAGGTTTTGTACCAGCTAATTCTTGTCTGTGACTATTCAGGTTTTGTACCAGCTAATTCTTGTCTGTGACTATTCAGGTTTTGTACCAGCTAATTCTTGTCTGTGACTATTCAGGTTTTGTACCAGCTAATTCTGTTTTGACTCCAGGTTGTGTCCCGGCTAATTCTTGTCTGTGACTGTCCAGGTTTTGTCTCGAGGAATCACCAGCCCAGTGACCTTTGATGTTGGTGTACAGCCCTGGAACAAGTTTGAGTCCAGAGATGTGGCCTACAATGTCAGGAGGGATTTTGATGTGTCTATATCAGACTGGATCGGCATATACAAGGTGTGTACACTGTTATTGCAACAACAATCAGCAAATTAGCAAAAAGAGTTTGAGAGAACAGAAAGCTCATGACTGAAACAACAACTCTTGTCTATCAGGCTTGTCTTCTCAGCACACTTCTCTTTTTCTTCTCTTCCTCCTTGTACCTCAATGAAGTGTCAGGGAAGTTGTAACATTCGTTGATGAGCTCTGTCAAGAGCACTATTAAGATTTATGTTTATTTCTGTAAGGCAGTTCTTAATGCCATAACTCCATCTTTTACAAGGTCTTCCACTCTCTCTGTGACCGTTGTAACGTTTCATTGTGGCTCGCTGTGGCAGATAGTACCAGGGCATTCTTGTTAGGTGTCCAAACCACTTCATGTGTTGTTTTTTGATGACCTGTAAGACTGGCTTTATTCCTAGCATTAGTCTGATTTCGTGATTTTGTATCCTGTCTTTCCTTGAAAACTCCGGCAGCTCTTCTAAGGCATTTCATCTCTGTTGTCACAATTTTACGTTCATTAGAGGATGTAAATGTCCACATTTGGCACTGATAGCATAGAGCTGTTGCGTGGAGGGACAAATCAGGAAAACGAATGAGAATGAAGGAAGAAATTATTGCAGAAATGATGAGAGCTGAGCGTCTGAGAAGAAACACACAAAACACCTATATGGCAACAGCGGTCTGTAATTGTGAAAGACGAGCCCAGCTAGTCGGACTGGCTATCGCGATGGGCTGTGAGTCCCAGTCTCCTCATAACGCAGTATAACACCATTGTCAAGAAAGATGGAAAAGTTCCAACAATGGACACAGTTGTGGGTAAAAACTGGCAACCTATGTAATGAAGTGATGAAACCATGCACCTCATGCTCTGTCATGGGTTCATGTGTAAATGTAAATATAATGTTCGGTTCATGAGTGTTGTTCAGTTCATGAGTGCTGTACAGTTCATGAGTGTTGTTCTGTTCATGAGTGCTGTTTGATTCATGAGTGCTGTTTGGTTCATGAGTGCTGTTTGGTTCATGAGTGCTGGTTGGTTCATGAGTGCTGGTTGGTTCATGAGTGCTGTTTGGTTCATGAGTGCTGGTTGGTTCATGAGTGCTGTTTGGTTCATGAGTGCTGGTTGGTTCATGAGTGCTGTTTGGTTCATGAGTGCTGGTTGGTTCATGAGTGCTGTTTGATTCATGAGTGCTGGTTTGTTCATGAGTGCTGGTTGGTTCATGGGTGCTGGTCAGTTCATGAGTGCTGGTTGGTTCATGAGTGCTGGTTGGTTCATGAGTGCTGGTTGGTTCATGAGTGCTGTTTGGTTCATGAGTGCTGGTTGGTTCATGAGTGCTGGTTGGTTCATGAGTGCTGTTTGGTTCATGAGTGCTGGTTGGTTCATGAGTGCTGTTTGGTTCATGAGTGCTGGTTGGTTCATGAGTGCTGTTTGGTTCATGAGTGCTGGTTGGTTCATGAGTGCTGTTTGATTCATGAGTGCTGTTTGGTTCATGAGTGCTGTTTGGTTCATGAGTGCTGGTTGGTTCATGAGTGCTGTTTGGTTCATGAGTGCTGTTTGGTTCATGAGTGCTGTTTGGTTCATGAGTGCTGTTTGGTTCATGAGTGCTGTTTGGTTCATGAGTGCTGTTTGGTTCATGAGTGCTGGTTGGTTCATGAGTGCTGGTTGGTTCATAAGTGCTGGTTGGTTCATGAGTGCTGTTTGATTCATGAGTGCTGTTTGGTTCATGAGTGCTGTTTGGTTCATGAGTGCTGGTAGGTTCATGAGTGCTGTTCTGTTCATGAGTGCTGGTTGGTTCATGAGTGCTGTTTGGTTCATGAGTGCTGTTTGGTTCATGAGTGCTGTTTGGTTCATGAGTGCTGTTTGGTTCATGAGTGCTGGTTGGTTCATGAGTGCTGTTTGGTTCATGAGTGCTGGTTTGTTCATGAGTGCTGGTTGGTTCATGGGTGCTGGTCAGTTCATGAGTGCTGGTTGGTTCATGAGTGCTGGTTGGTTCATGAGTGCTGGTTGGTTCATGAGTGCTGGTTGGTTCATGAGTGCTGGTTGGTTCATGAGTGCTGGTTGGTTCATGAGTGCTGTTTGGTTCATGAGTGCTGGTTGGTTCATGAGTGCTGTTTGGTTCATGAGTGCTGGTTGGTTCATGAGTGCTGTTTGGTTCATGAGTGCTGGTTGGTTCATGAGTGCTGTTTGATTCATGAGTGCTGTTTGGTTCATGAGTGCTGTTTGGTTCATGAGTGCTGGTTGGTTCATGAGTGCTGTTTGGTTCATGAGTGCTGTTTGGTTCATGAGTGCTGTTTGGTTCATGAGTGCTGTTTGGTTCATGAGTGCTGTTTGGTTCATGAGTGCTGGTTGGTTCATGAGTGCTGGTTGGTTCATGAGTGCTGGTTGGTTCATGAGTGCTGTTTGATTCATGAGTGCTGTTTGGTTCATGAGTGCTGTTTGGTTCATGAGTGCTGGTAGGTTCATGAGTGCTGTTCTGTTCATGAGTGCTGGTTGGTTCATGAGTGCTGTTTGGTTCATGAGTGCTGTTTGGTTCATGAGTGCTGTTTGGTTCATGAGTGCTGGTTGGTTCATGAGTGCTGTTTGGTTCATGAGTGCTGGTTGGTTCATGAGTGCTGGTTGGTTCATGGGTGCTGGTCAGTTCATGAGTGCTGGTTGGTTCATGAGTGCTGGTTGGTTCATGAGTGCTGGTTGGTTCATGAGTGCTGTTTGGTTCATGAGTGCTGTTTGGTTCATGAGTGCTGTTTGGTTCATGAGTGCTGGTTGGTTCATGAGTGCTGGTTGGTTCATGAGTGCTGTTTGGTTTATGAGTGCTGGTTGGTTCATGAGTGCTGTTTGGTTCATGAGTGCTGTTTGGTTCATGAGTGCTGGTTGGTTCATGAGTGCTGTTTGGTTCATGAGTGCTGTTCTGTTTATGAGTGCTGGTTGGTTCATGAGTGCTGGTTGGTTCATGAGTGCTGGTTGGTTCATGAGTGCTGGTTGGTTCATGAGTGCTGGTTGGTTCATGAGTGCTGTTTGGTTCATGAGTGCTGTTCTGTTTATGAGTGCTGTTTGGTTCATGAGTGCTGGTTGGTTCATGAGTGCTGGTTGGTTCATGAGTGCTGTTCTGTTTATGAGTGCTGTTTGGTTCATGAGTGCTGGTTGGTATGAGTGCTGTACAGTTCATGAGTGCTGGTCGGTACATGAGTGCTGGTCGGTACATGAGTGCTGTTCGGTTGATGAGTGCTGCTAACTGGGCAATGGATGGTCTGGAAGGAGGCGAGCACCAGCCAAGTCAGATTTGTTCCTGCCCCTCCCTCCACTTGCCAGGCCTAGCAAGCCTGCAGTGGTATAACTGATTGCTACTACACAAGAAATATTTAATACATATGGAACAAGAACAAACTGCAGAATACCTGGTAGAAAGGCAAGAGGACCACCAAGAAAGAGATGGATAAATGGTGTAGAAGAAACCTGTAAAAACATGAACAAATCCATCACTCAAGCCACCCAAGAAGCGCAAGACAAATACACAAAAACCACGACACTGGGATATAACCTGGTATCAGTGAGACGAGAAAACCATGACACTGGGCTATAACCAGGTATCAGTGGGACAACAAAACCACGACACTGGGCTATAACCTGGTATCAGTGAGACGAGAAAACCATGACACTGGGCTATAACCAGGTATCAGTGGGACAACAAAACCACGACACTGGGCTATAACCTGGTATCGGTGGGACAACAAAACCATGACACTGGGCTATAACCAGGTATCAGTGGGACAACAAAACCATGATACTGGGCTATAATCTGGTATAAGTGAGACGAGAAAACCATGACACTGGGCTATAACCAGGTATCAGAGGGACAACAAAACCACGACACTGGGCTATAACCTGGTATCAGTGAGACGAGAAAAAAAACCATGATACTGGGCTATAACCAGGTATCAGTGGGACAACAAAACCACGACACTGGGCTATAACCTGGTATCAGTGAGACGAGAAAAAAACCATGATACTGGGCTATAACCAGGTATCAGTGGGACAACAAAACCACGACACTGGGCTATAACCTGGTATCAGTGAGACGAGAAAAAAACCATGGTACTGCACTACAACCTGGTATTGGTGAGACCACAAAAGAAGAAGAAGCCCCAAGCTTTCCACCCCCCCCCCCCCCCAACCCCGGTAGAATTGGTAAACTGTTTTCTTCTGCCTTCATCTTGGGATGTAATTGCATTGTGCACATTGACAGCATATTCAACGTATGCAGAACTGGGGAAATTCTTGTAACCTACAACTGCTCCATTTGCGGACAAGCTCTCTGGAGAAGTTAGTAACAGAAGTTAGCAACTTCAGATTAATTGTCACTTTCTTTACATGTATTCTCATTTATATTTAAAAGTGAAAGAGTAAGAGCAAAGAAGAACAAGACTCATTACAAACCTGACCATATGCTGATGAAGGTTTTCTAGCCGCAGCATTCGTTTGTCACATGTGATTCTGATCATGTCAGGCTGACTAATTCTACTTCTGGTTTGAATTGATGTCTTTTCATGGTGCTTATATTTAACTTTATACAAAATAAGATAAATACTTTTTGTTAATAATAGTGTATGCTATTTTATTCTGCAGGCTGACTTTGTAGATTTACATTCCCCTATATCATACGTTTGGACAGTTCTAAACTCGGCAGCAAATCGAACATCACCAAGCGCTATCAGAATGGTAGTCCAGTTCACCCCTGTGCACCTCAGCGGACTGCCCGACGGGAAGTATGTCCTCTGTTACTTGACCAGAAAAGGCTCGTTGAGTGGGATCAGTAGAGCTTTCAACATTGGAGTGGTCACAGAGACTTAGAGTTACAGTTTATATATATATATATATATATACGTTTGTTTATCCTAGATTGTTGTAGGCTGAAGTTCATATCTGGTCTGATGTCATACAGGGTGATAGTGTTGTTACAAAAACTCACTAATTTTGTCATCACTCGACCTGATTGTGTGTCACAGGAAATGTACAGGGAAGACAAAGATGGCTTCCATTTGTTAAACAAACATGAAAAATGTTATTTATTTTTGTTTCTTTCCTCTTGTGTTTTGAGACGGTAGCTTCCTCCAAACTTCACTTGCAAAAACTGGTGACGTAATGGTTGAACTCTCTTACACAGAATATCTTCTTCATGCAGGGTAGTCTTTATGTTTGAGCATGAGTTATCTCTCTGAGTTTTCATTTATTTCTGAGTTTTCATTTCATGTCAACAATTCACAGGTCAGTTATTTCTATGTATTAGTGAATGTACATTTTGTTTCTCCATCTTTCTCATCCTGCTCTTGTCATCATTTATTTTTTTTTTTTGCACTAACCCTGTAAACACTGAAAAACATCACCAGTCTGGTAGCAGGAGCAAGACCTGTCAAACAGGGAAGTAATCACATCCTGGTAGGGGTAGCATGCCCTATCAAACAGGGAAGTAATCACATCCTGGTAGGGGGAGCAAGCCCTGTAAAACAGGGAAGTAATCACACGCTGTTAGGGGGAGCAAGCCCTGTCAAACAGGGAAGTAATCACATGCTGGTAGCAGGAGCAAGACCTGTCAAACAGGGAAGTAATCACATGCTGGTAGGGGTAGCCCTGTCAAACAGGGAAGTAATCACATGCTGGTAGGGGTAGCCCTGTCAAACAGGGAAGTAATCACATGCTGGTAGGGGTAGCCCTGTCAAACAGGGAAGTAATCACATGCTGGTAGGGGTAGCCCTGTCAAACAGGGAAGTAATCATATGCTGGTAGGGGTAGCCCTGTCAAACAGGGAAGTAATCACATGCTGGTAGGGGTAGCCCTGTCAAACAGGGAAGTAATCACATGCTGGTAGCAGGAGCAAGACCTGTCAAACAGGGAAGTAATCACATGCTGGTAGGGGGAGCAAGCCCTGTAAAACAGGGAAGTAATCACATGCTGGTAGGGCTAGCCCTGTCAAACAGGGAAGTAATCACATGCTGGTAGGGGGAGCAAGCCGTGTCAAACAGGGAAGTAATCACATGCTGGTAGGGGGAGCAAGCCTTGTCAAACAGGGAAGTAATCACATGCTGTTAGGGGGAGCAAGCCCTGTCAAACAGGGAAGTAATCACATGCTGTTAGGGCTAGCCCTGTCAAACAGGGAAGTAATCACGTGCTGGTAGGGGGAGCAAGCCCTGTCAAACAGGGAAGTAATCACATGCTGGTAGGGGGAGCAAGCCATGTCAAACAGGGAAGTAATCACATGCTGTTAGGGGGAGCAAGCCCTTCCAAACAGGGAAGTAATCACATGCTGGTAGGGGGAGCAAGCCCTGTCAAACAGGGAAGTAATCACATGCTGGTAGGGGGAGCAAGCCCTGTCAAACAGGGAAGTAATCACATGCTGTTAGGGCTAGCCCTGTCAAACGGAAGTAATCACATGCTGGTAAGGGTAGCAAGCCTTGTCAAACAGGGAAGTAATCACATGCTGGTAAGGGGGAGCAAGCCCTGTCAAACAGGGAAGTAATCACATGCTGGTAGGGGTAGCATGCCTTGTCAAACAGGGAAGTAATCACATGCTGGTAGGGCTAGCCCTACCCTGTCTGGACTTGAAGTTACTTTGTAACCATCAGGGGCCCTTGTGTTACCATCAGGGGCCCTTGTGTAACCATCAAGGGCCCTTGTATAAATAACCATCAGGGACCCTTGTATAACCTTACGGTTCAACAGGATTTCTCGAGTTTGTACATGGGGGATTCTCATCTGAATTGTGGCACTTTGCCACACCAAGTGTTCATCACTGAGTGTGCAGTCCTAGGGTGGGTGTTTATCACTGAGTGTGCAGTCCTAGGGTGGGTGTTTATTACTGAGTGTGCAGTCCTAGGGCAGGTGTTTATCACTGAGTGTGCAGTCCTAGGGTGGGTGGAACATATCATGCTGGTAGGGAACACATGACCTGTACATATGGAACATATCATGCTGGTAGGGAACACATGACCTGTACATATGGAACATATCATGCTGGTAGGGAACACATGACCTGTACATATGGAACATATCATGCTGGTAGGGAACACATGACCTGTACATATGGAACATATCATGCAGGTGGTTGTTGTTGGTGACCAGCTAGTACACTAGCTACTCCATTTTTGAAATCTGCTTACAGAAAAATAATTTGTACCATTTCATTACTGATTGTCCTGATTAGGGTCTGTACGGAACAGGTGGCTCACACGGTTTGAGGCTATAATCTGCTTTGTCTGGGCTTTACGTTACTTTGTGACCACCAGAGAGGCTCCAGTATAACCTTATGGTTAAATGGGGCCTCTGGAGTTTGTACCTAAGGGATTCTTATCCAGATATGGACTCTTTGGGTCACTCATTGTGGGGTCCCAGGAGAGTTCAGTTTCACTGAGTCACTTTCAGGCAGTTGGTTTTTTTGACTTGTTATGAAATTTGTGTGTTGATTTGTTTTTCTCTCCATGACAGTACTCTTTGTTGTAAAAAGGATCTTTGGGTTTAGGAATATTATTTTCTCTCTCTGTGTGCCATATATGCTGTCATGTTGAAGAACCATGTGCCATAACTGCTATGTTGAAAAACCCTGTGCCATTTTAAAAGTAACTTCCTTGAAGCACTGTATGTGTTAATAAAATAATACCATACATATGTATGTCATATATGTCAAAACAATACTAAGATGTTCTGTGTTAAGCCACTAATATAAACATGACAAAAGATTTATGAGCATCTGAAATAACCTTACTGAAGTGCTCTGCTCGATGTGTTACAAATTAGTGAAGAAGATACTCGAGACCTTTAAAAGCTGAACAGAATATGGAACTCTAAATTTTATCGTTTTAGAAGTTACGTATTCTCTGTTCTGATGTTATTTCAGTTTAAACATATGCCAGTAAAACTAAAGAATGCTAAAGACATGGAACAAAAGTTAAATGTGTTTTAAAAGAACTGCCTCAGAAAACTGATGACCATTAATTGGGTTGAATTCAGGAAAGGGGAAGAAATAAAATGTCTGGTATCAACGGCTTTAAGACAAAGATGATGAAGAGATGGCAGTACATTGGGGGCATCTTGAGGCACAGCGATCAGAGAAGCACCAAACAGGAACTTGAATGGGAAATAAATGGACTGAGAAAACAAGGACATTCAAGAGAAACCCAGAAACAGATGAAGCTGAGAGAAGTCGAGAGAAGCTGAGAGAAGTCGAGAGAAGCCGAGAGAAGTCGAGAGAAGCTGAAGGTCTGGACTGGATTCCATTCATCCACTACCAGACTGCAAGACATTTCTGACATATTGAGGCACAAATGGTGATGATGTTACTGATTAAGTTCTCTGTGTGCTACCAAATAAATTTTACAAAGTACTTTCTGATGTGCCATTAAAAAAACATGACATTAAAAGTAGTAATTTATTTACTTGTTCTGAATACTACATGTACTTTTTATTTACTTAAGAAACTATATTTGTCATTTCAGTCAACCATTTTAAAGCATTGTTTTTATCATCTTGGTGATGCATACTGAAAGACTGTACAATTCACTAAATCACCTTCTCTATTGATTTTGTTTACTAGTTACCAGTGTGGTAGCATCAACTGTGATTGTGGATACCAGAGTTTATAGAGTCGGCTGCAGGCTATTCATTAGCAGGCAGTCATGAGCTGATGTTGATGACAAAGGTATGAGCATGAACTCATCTAGAAAGTTGTGGAACTGCAGGTGAATGTCACATTGCCTATAAGATCCACACAACAGCCAACAAATTATGGGGTTCGTTCTAACATCCTGTCAAGGACATACAGCTGGCCAACATATCCTAGAACAACAGGAATGTTCTTTGTCAGTTATTAGTAAACATATACTGCAGACTAAGATACAAGGTCCGACAATTAAGTAATGAGACTGATTCCATAAAAATTTAAATAATCACCAGTTGAAGATAAAACCTGTGTCTGATTCAAAGTAAGCCCTATGTGCATTGATACAGCAAGTGACACGATCTAACAAACACTGGAACGACCTCTGTAGTTCTTCTATTGTTATGGCCCCTAAAGTCGATGTTACGGCCCTTTAGGTGTCATCAAAATCGTTAAAAAAGCGTCCTTTCAGTCGTAACTTTAATTTTGGGAATAGAAAATAATCACGGAGAGAAATCTGGGAAATAGGGTGGAAGGCTGAGAACACACACTTATTTTCAGGCAAAAACTTCTTGTTTGGATGATGTCTCTTGGGTACTCAACCCGCTGATGTTTTTGGTCATCAGACAATGAATGTGGTACAAACCTGCAAGCAACTTTTTTCTTGCCAAAATCTTACACTAAAATGTTATGAATGGTCTTTCTATTAACACCAGATTCATCTGCCATCATCCCCACAGTAAAACAATGATCTTCTTGTATCCGTTCTCTGACTTTTGCAATGAATTCATCATTACGAACATAAATTTGGCGTCCAGGTCTAGTTGCATTAGTAATCATTTCCACGCCACTTTTAAATCGTAAATACAACCTGAAAATTTGTGCATGAGATAAAGAATTATCCCCATAAACTTGTATCATTTCAACTGTTTCAACGGCACTTTTTCTGAGTTTTAAAAATAATTTAATGTTAGCTTTTTGCTCTGTGATTATTACGTTGCACCTCTGACTAGATCAACAAAATGGCGGCTTATTTGTTGTCTGCTTATCGAGCCGCTATGAAAAGTTGCCATATCATAGATGAATGTTGCCTCTTTAGATTTCATGCTTTGCTTCATAGATGACATTTTTGTCTTGGCCATAATAAAATCGGTCTCATTACCTAATTGTCAGACCTTGTATAATG